TTAAGAGTACCCTTTACATTATTACTATGGAATTTCTTAGCTTAAGTGCTTTCATGCAACCAGGCCCAGGTCTCAAACACATAAAAATTATAAACATCTACTTATTTATGGTTAAAGTTTGCAATAAATCTCCTAATCACATGTGCTTTGAACTGTGGTGCCTGGTCAACTATGATCCCTAGTGTACATCCTGTAATGTAACTGTTATGACGCTGAAACAATACATTGTGCAGCCTAATGTCATTCTAATGTCATCATGGGTGGACAATGAGGAAATGAAAAAGCAGTTGGTACAGAAAATGTTTGTTTTTTTGTAACAGAGTATTAGTTTTCAGTTTTTGGAAAATTGAAAGGATCTTATTTCAGTACACATTCCCTCATATGTGATGATACTCTTTCTTTGAATGAACAACAACTTCTATTGTTGTGGTTTCTTAAAAAATCTATAAAAGTTGTAAGAGAAACTTGTAACAAACTTCTTAACTGTCTACTTAAGTATTTCACTGTAGTTTCTGGCAACATTTTTCAGTGAGGGCTGTGGTTGTTATAGTTGCAGCACTTCAAATCAAATGTAACAAACCTTAAAGCTACCTTAGCCTTAGCTAAAACCACAGTTGTATTAATACATTTTGCTACAATATTCACTGGAAAAAATGGTTAGATAAAATGAAAAGCTATTTTTTTTTAGATAAATTTGGCAAAAGAAATCTCAAAAAAGTGCACAAAAAGTATTGCATTCGCATAAGAATAATAAATACTTTATTATATATGATTTCTTCAAAAATAAATAAAAGCTGCATGTACTGTATGTAAATATATATATATATATATATGATTGCTTATTTATGTAGCACTGTGGTATACTGCAAGACAAGACATTTTATTCCACTGTATGTCCACAAATGTAACAGATTGACAATAGAGCTCAACTTGACTTAAACCTTATTTCTGTATCTGTATCATTTAACTTTTTAAAGTGCATCTTACCTTTTACTCAGGATCTGTGTTTGTGTTTGAAGCACAAATCCACAACAACCTTTCCGACTTCATCTGCTGAAAAGAGTTATTAGTCTGTCAAAATGTCCAAATGTTTCATACACAGTAATAATTATATGCCTATCTGCTGAGTGGCCTAATAATGTAAACAATATCTAAACCAAGCACAGAAAAAAAGAAATAATTAACCAAATGCTGTGCTGCCTTGTTAAACAGATCTTGATTCAATGTTTTATCAGCATAGCAGGATTTAGTTTTTTTTCCCTTTTATGTACAACATTTCGTGTACTAAAGACAAAAATATGAGTTTTTATTTAGTATATGGCATTTTCTCATGTTAATAAACATAATTAATAAACTTTTAATAGACATAATTAAATGATTAGCAAACACTTTACATATTAACATTTATTAAGGCTTGATATTGAAAAACAAAACAAACAAACAAAAAAAGAAATTATTTTCTGAATAGTGAAATCAACACAAACTGTGTAGCTCTTTGCGTAAGTTTGAGGTCTAGATCCCACCTATGATAATTCATATAGAACAGTAGCATGTAAAATAAACCAATTCAAACTGCATATCACAAGCTGACACAAAAGATTTAGGTGCTTTAAAATATAAATATTTTGAAACATATTGTTTTACTTTATGTTATAGTCAGAGTAAGCAAACTTTGGGTGAAAAAAAATAGACTATAGCTTATTAGTGAACGTTTGAATTTTTTTTGACAGAAAAAAAAACAGCAATGTCACATTCATGGCATCCCCATTTCCGTTTGTATCGAGCAAACAGAACTATTCGATTGGGGGTGGGCGAAAACACCTGACGGCCGCAGGAGTTCCAGAACAAGATGTTTATGTGTACAGAGTGTTCATCCTTCAGCGGTCAGCAAGTATTTAGGGCAAATTTGGACATGACAAACATTCGCTGTTCACCGGTTTGTAATAAATCTGTAGTGTAAATAATGTGGCGATACTACGCGCAGGAGAACCACCAATGAGGAGGGAGAAATGTTTATAAAGTTGCTTCCGTTAGTAGAGTCACTCACACATTACAGGACTTGATTCATTTGATAAACGTTTCAAGAAAAACAAACGCGCGCCTAATACAAACACAGGTGGGTTATAGGGACGGTATGCTACTTGTTTAAAATACATGAACCAGTTGGTAAACTTCGTTATAATTTAATTCAGTAAAAATCAGTGCGAAGAAGAAATACAAATAAAGCATCGCGTGTTCGTAAAAATAAGAAAGAAGACACTGCTGCTCACCTCAGTACAACTCTTGAAAAAAGATTTCTCAAACTTGAAGTTTTGGTTCCATCAGTTTTGGTTCCAGACGTTTCCACAGAAGAAATTGGCTTATCATCAATAAGCTACACCTGCTCAGAAGAAGTTCAAGCGCATTGTTTGAAATTTCAGGTGGTGCCTTCAGGTCGTGCTGTCTGCACTAAAACCGGAGACGAGGATGAACCGCCCAGTTAATGGTTCAGTTATTCAGCTGGTATGTTAAACAGGGCTGTTCTACTCCGAAGAGCTCTTTAAAGGGATAGTTCACCCAAAATGAAAATTCTGTCATTTACTAATTCAGTTCGTAACATCATTCAGTTCGTATGAGGACCAAAGAAGATATTGTGAAGAATGTTGAATGAGCAACAGTTTTGGTTTCCAATGACTTTGGTTTTTAAATTATCTTTTTTTTGTCCACAGATCTCAGATGACATGAGGGTGAGTAGGTCTTAATGGTGACAAAAGTTTCACTTTAAGTTTAGTTAGGGAGATAATTATTTTCAAATACAATTGGACTTTTAAACATGTTGACTGCAACACCCCTTATGGATATTAGCCATGGTTTTATGACATGCAAAAACAGAAAAACGTTCTGCATATAAAATTGCCCCTATAGCCTACCCTTATTAAATATTCCCTACATTAGTCCACAAATATTGTCCACTTGACGGAGGGAATGAAAATGAGTGAATGTTTGTTCGTGCTTTGCTGGTTGATAAATCCCTCAGATGGATTAGATTTTCAACTTCTTAATCAGATTGTGTTATTGGTCAGATAGTTGTTTAACACCTAGTGAACTCTCTGTTAGTAATGAAACTAGGTATTTTGTCTTCTGTCATGTAAACAAATGTTAATTTAAGTAATATTATGTTTGGAAATTTACACACCGATAGTAGTCCGCTGTGAATCTTGTAGTGAGATGCGGAAATTCATACATGTGTGCAAACTCTCATGGCAATAATGGCTATTTTGTAGCCATTGAGTGTATGTGGGTTGTGCATTTATTATTGCAGTGTGTTGTAGGATTGATTGAGTGCATTACTAGAAATGGCGGCTATTTCAAATAATATACAAGAGCATAGGGGGCTATTTCAGGTATAGCCATGGTTTTGCTACTGTATAAACAATGTAAACCATTATTCATGGCAAAATTATTAAATTGTTTTGTTATTCTAACAATAGTTTAACCATAGTGTATTTAGTAAAACTGCAAAATATGCCACGTGGTTACTGACATTTTACTAAATTCATGGTTAAAATCTGTAAGGGACATGATTTAAATGTGTGAATTGTTAGGTGTAAACCATTTAGTAAATCCATTTGTCCGCTTTAGAGACATTTATTTTTTCCCTCCTTAACCTTAAAGTTTTAAAATATTTGTGTTAAAAACAGACAAGCTATAAAATATTTAATCCTCATTGCTTTATATTATGTCATGCATAAGTGCCGCTTTAATTGGGAGGATTAGAATGAGGCTCTGGTCACTCAGGGGGCTCAGCAGACCCCCATAATTTGCAAACCCGTTTCAGGTCTTTCAGTCTCTGCTAACAAGTTGAAGATCTGAATCAGGTGTGTTTAGTTAAGGAGATATAGAAAATGTGCAGAGCTGATGGTCTGGTTTTAACCCAGATAAGGCTCAAAGGAACCAAAAGTGCATATTCTGTCATTATTTACTCGCCCTATCTTGTTACAAAACTGCATAACTTCTTTTTTCTGCTGTGGAACAAGTACTTTTTTTCTCCATAAAATGGAAGTCGGGTAACCGAAACTCTTCACTGGGGCCCAATTATGTTTACAAGATATGGTGCAACACATTATTGACGCAACTCAACCAGGTCTTGTCACATTGAGCATGCATTGGGCCAGATATTATTTAAGTTTGGTTAATTTAAGACAGTTGAGGCTTTTGAGGGGGTTCAAAAATAATGCTGGCTGAATAGCTTTATTAGGAGTTCAATTTGTGCTTCGCAGCCTTGCAGATCAATTAGATTTTATGCTCAAATGACAGCATTTACCCCCCTTTTTAAAATGACAATTTAATTTTGGGCAAAAAGTTGCTTTTAACCTAAGCTACTGCAATCGTAAGGCACAGGTTTGATCCCAGACCGTTTCAGTCCAAACAAGGCTTCAGGGTGCTCCAGACGAGATGACACTGCAATTAGTAAACTGTTCTTTGCCAAAACATCTGCTAAATTAACATGTAACCACATGTTCGTGCTTCTAGCCCCAGAATTTCCATCTTTTGAGATGCTTCTACGTGGTGTAATGGCAAAGATTTGTTTGTCACATTATCATTTTTAAAATATATTTCAACATTTAAATCATTGAACCATTTGGAGTCATTAGTCATCTATTTTACTCAAGCTCTTTAAAAAAAAAGCATGCTTTTTCATAATTTTCATATTTTCTATTGACGATAGTACTCAAAACAAGTTCTGTCAGCACTCTGTCATCAAAGATGACTTACAATTAGCATACATATTGTGTTGGAGGAATAGCTTTTTTTCTGGAAAGTCATGAAGACTTCAAAAACCCCAAGTGTAAACAGAACAGCAACAACGTTAATGATTAATATAGCAAATATTATTCATGTTCTTTGTGACGATGTTTGATTTAACAACATCTGACTCAACAAGAAGTATCTATTGGCAAGCCATGACTGGAACAAAGTTGCTAAGCAATCAAAAAAAAAACAAAAAAAACACACAATATAGTAAATATTTATGTTGTTTATTTTAATGCACATTTTCAGGGAAACATTTATTGTATAATTATATGTTTCTGTATTTTACAATGTCTTCAATCCCTTTAGAAAAAATTGCTATGACTTTTGGCAACAGGTTATAAATATGAATTATTAAGTGCAAGCTTACACAACTGCAAGATGCTTTGAGCAGTAAACCGTGCTAAATGAGAAAACACTCCCTGCCACAAGTCCTAAACAAACACAAGGCATAGCAAATGACAGACAACAAAAACACAGTGGCCTTAAAGGTACAGCTCACTCAAAAACTGAAAATTCTCTCTTCAAAAAACTTTCAAGGTATCCCCCTTTCATGATCCCTAAAACAATTTTTGAGTGAATTATCCCTTTAAGTTATCCTCATAACACCATATAGTTAAAAAAACAAAACAAAAAACATTTAACAGTTGTTTACATTTGTTGTTGTGTTTATGCGCTATATTGAAGAACCCTGTGTCATTTACACTGGCGAAAGTGATTTAGAGAGTCTATTAATAATGTGTCAGTGTGTGTGCGTCTAGATACAGCTAACTACATGTAAACGTTTGGCTTCGAAGCACAGTGGAAAAGTTAGAAAAGCTTGAGAAAAAAATTGACACAACATTGGTTTGGCACTACAACGTTCCTGCATTTAGTGCAGTGTAGCACATTTGGCCAAGAGACAGAGGTACGAGTACACAGAGGGTGACAGTGCTGTGGCATTCGGCATGCAAACAGATGGGCTAGCATATGTAGCTAACGCACTAATGTAAAGCGACACCGCGGTCAGTCCCTGGACTATTTACATGGCTTTGAACATCTGGATATTATGCCTAATATGGCAAGCCTTTTAAACATTTAACCTTTATAGCACACTAGTATGTATTTCAATGCAACTAGTACTAGTTTTGGTCACACTTTATATTAAGTGTCCTTAACTACTATGTACTCACATCAAAACATAAATACATACTGTGTTCATAATGTATTTGAGAACACTTGTGGAGCTTTTAAGTTAGGATAAGGGTTGGTTAAGAACAAGTTTGGTGGTATTGGTAGGTTTAAGAGTGGGTTAAGGTGTAAGGGATGGTCAACAGTGTAATTACAAATGTAATTACATACAGGTATTTAATCAAGCATAAGAACAATGTAAAAACATGTATTTACACAATAAGTACATTGTAATGAATTGTTAATTTAGGTGTACATATTAGTTAAGGTCACCTAATATAAAGTGGGACCCTAGTTTTATAAGTAATTTAATAAGTAAATTTATAAGTAATTTTTAGAATTTCATTTTCACTTATTAATTAAATACGAGTACCTTTTTAAAATATACTTTTTTGGTTTCATTAGATACTAGTAGTGTGTATTAGATGCTAGTTCTTATTCATTAGCTACTACTTATTTAAAATAGGGATTAGTATTCTAAAGTTAGTAGGTATCAAAAAAGAACTAAAGTAATTACTAAAATAAATTAAAAATAACTAATGCAAACTATTAAATTTATGTACTAATCACAGTTGAAAATGAATACATACTAATCAAAACTGAACCGTTGATATACAAATGACGGTCTCTATAGAAACCAATGGCAAGCATTTCAAATTTGCTATTAGTGACAATAGAATTGTTACTGCTGAAAAAAAAAATGTTTAAACCAGCTTAAGCTGGTTGGCTGGGTTTAGCTGGGTTTAGTTTTAGGGGTCTTAGCTGGCCAGGCTGGAAAATGACCAGTTAAAATCAGCTTGACCAGCCTGGTTTAAGATGGACATAGCTGATTTTGAATGAGCTAGAATCTAGCTTGGAAATGGCCAAAACCTCTCTAAAACCAGGCTGGTCGACCAGCTTAAATCATCCAACCAGCCTAGGCTGGTTTATGCTGTTTTTTCAGCAGGGTATTCAAGCCTCATTCACCCTACGAGCAACTCAAAGCGGCTAAGTGACAAGTGACTGTTCACTTCAACTGATAGTTCCGTCTACGCAACCAGTGGCGACAAGGTGGGCATGTCAAGCGAGGCGACAGAGATCCTTCAACTATTTGTAAATGAAGAATTACTTTTTTTATCGTCAACCAATAGAAACACTAATAGAAGTCAGGTGATCCTCTCTCAGTTTGCTCAGAGGCCGCACGTTTGTACACCGCCACCCAGAGCGACAGGCAGCTACAAAGTTGCTGCTAGTGTGAATGAGGCATCACTAATGAACAAAATACTTGTATTTAATGAACAAGTACTAGTAGTTACTAGTGTCTACTAATAAGTACACACCAGATGCAAATTAAAGGATTCACATGAGCAAATTACATATAAATTCAGTGCGAGTGTGAATATAGGCAAATTTCCTCTAGGCGGGTAGAATGATGTGGAATGCGCAATGTGCTTGCCACCAATGCATTGAATTTTCATCAAATGCATTGTTCGAACAAGTTAAAATATCAATTGAAGCAGAATCTCACGAGTAAACTAGTGATGCAATCCCATTTTCTTTGCATTTGGTGTGAACCCAGAATACCATTAGTAAAAAAAACACTAGTCGCTAAACAATAATTAAAAAAAAATACTAATACTTATTTTATGGAAATACTATCTTATATTAGCTACTACTCATTTATTCATTCCTTTTGTTTCGGCTTAGTCCTTTTATTAATCTGGGGTCGCCACAGTGGAATTAACCACCAACTATCCAGCTTATGTTTACAAATACACTGCGGCCAATTTAGTTTATTCAATTCACCAATAGCGCATGAATGTGGGGGAAACCAGAACACCCAAACTCCACACAGAAATGCCAAATGACCCAGCTGGGGCTTGAACCATATTATCTACCAATAACATGAATATTAAAACTAGTATTAAATGTTCTATTGGCTTGCCATATGTCTAAACATCAAGTACAAAAGCAAAGACAACTCCTTTTAGCGTTTTAGCTGCTTAGGATGTCATGAGTAGAGCAAGAAACAGAACAACACAAGACCTAACTAAGGAGTCACAACATCCATCATCTGAAAACACAATGCACTTCTGGTTAATTAGTGATCAATAAGTTCCTAACACCATTGATTCACTCCTGCTCCCAAAATACAGCAAGGAAAGAACGAGGTTAAAGACAAAATTGGCATTTGGGGTCAGTTGCTCTGAGAGAGAGAGAGAGAAAATACAGAAATAGTGTGCGTTAGATGACGAATTAGAAGTGTGCTAGTTAAAAATTTGTTTAATTTGAGCATTTCCGTAATATACATTTATGTGATGATGACCACCATAAAGATATTAAGCTGAAGTGGGAATGAAATGAAATGGTCTGAAGTAAAATGATGGCAGATTCGCTCTCGGAACACCTCGGCTCTTTAGATCCATCAGGAATACTTTCTATTCCCATAGGCAGCAATGGTGAAGAACAGCATATGCAGCATTACAATTAAAACAACATCATAATTAAGCCCCTTTACACTACAAAATGCAACTCTATATTACACACACCGAAGCTTATTTCGTATGGATGCGAAAGATGTTTCATGAGCATGAAAAGTACAGGCATTAAAGAGTGTTTGTTAAACACAGTGATGTACTGAGAGAAACTATCCGCTTGCTATGGATTCCGGTTATTATCGCTGTTCACCCACTGAGCAAAAGCAGTTGAATCTGTGTCTTGTATGGGATCGTTTTACAGCTCATTTTTCAAACTGTGACTGATAAGTGATTTCAAACTTGCAAACAGGCGCAAAACAAATCAGCTGCATGTACTCCTGAAATAACATTCGGAATGACTCAATGGAAACACAAAGCCAGCAGATTCTGCAGGTTCTGCTCAGTTTGCAAGTTGTGCTTCGGATGTGGCCCTTGCAGAGACTCATCCTTGTTTTAAGGCTTCAGAACTGTCCTAATGGCACACAATGGAAAATACTGAAGGATTTATAACAGTATTATGTTTCAGCACGTACTGTACTCCTCTACAATTCTACATACCAAAAGAGTAAGACTTTAAAATAAGGTTCAGTTTGGTAACACCATTAGGTGTATGCTAAATAACCAATTAACTTAAACGAATAGCAAAACTAATGTATTTTAGCATTTCAAGTTGTATTAGTTCATGTGTTAGGCACAAAGATTAAACGATAATGAACATTGGTGTATTCAATGTTACACAATAATAAATTAATACTTTACTAAAGTTGTAAAAACAAGTCAATTCATAAAGAAATAATTATGCAAAATTTGTTGATTTTCTCTAACTCAGGCCATCCAAGATGTATAGGTGACTTTTTTCTTCAGTACAACCTTTAAGAGACAAAGGCACACTTTTAGGGTCAAAAGGTACACATATTGGGAAAACAAAATACATACATGTAGCTATTGATACAGCACAATGAGGTCTGTCATATGTTATGTTATACACATTTTGTACATTACATAGCTGTGTTGTTATAAATACTATGTTGTACTATAAACAATGTTATAAATATTGTTCGGTTTTAATAGTTTTAATTCACAAGACTTATTCACAAAATTCACAAGTTTTAGTTTTTTTCTCACGGTCTATATTAATTTTTGTAGCATGTACAACAGAAATCAAAATCAAACATACAAAATAAAATAAATAACTAAAAATAACAATAATAATATAAAGGTGCATCATATAACAATAATGGTATATCAATCGCAGGTTATACAAGTTACACAGAGAAAAGATTTGTATCAGCTTCCTTCAGGAATCCTAGAAAGGGACTCCAAATTTTGAAAAACTTTTCAGGTTTTCTCTTGACTTTAAGTTAATTTTTCTAAAGTCAAACAATAAGACAAATTCTGTTACCATTGTCCAAAATGCAGGCTTTCTGTATTTTTCCTAAAAACAAGCTATTATCTTCACAAGATTTAAATATATCGTCAGGTGTCATGAATAATAATATTGTTAACAAGTACCATTGTAACAAGTACCAAAACCATTGACCTCCACTTTGTGAGTCATCAAGAAAAAAAAACTTCAATGTTCTGCTCAAGAAAAAAATCAGATTTTTCATCTTGGATGGCCTGAGGGTGAATAAATTACCAATGTTTGAGTGAACAATCCTTTTATTATGAACTGAACCAACTTAAACTGAATAATAATATTTTAAAGCTAAATTTAAATCTGTCGTTTATTCGATGTTGTTTGCATTACTGATTCGTATTATGCATACTGTCAATCGCCTTTCTTATTGTGTGATTTGATTGAATCTGATTTGATAGTACTGATGCGTTTGACTAAATGCGACTGAACTTCTCTGGAAAGTGTAAATGAGAAAACAAACTGTTAAAGAACTGATTGGGATTCCATGTCTTAGCAAAGCAGTCCTCTGAAACATCTGAATGATGGCACTAACATTTTGCAAGCAATGTACACAAACCTCATGTATTAGATATTTAAACATACAGTATATAAGTCTAAATGTTGGCTTCAGGCAGATGGCAGGATGAAAGTTCACTTACATATAAGTTCATGTTATACATAACACTGGAGTTTGGTAATGGTCAAGCGTTTCGCTAAATGAGACGATAGTAGGCATTTTCTCGGCCCTTCAAAGAAAAGAATAAATCTTGTGATTTAGAGCTGCACGATTTTGGATAAAATCGCAATTTATTTATTATTAGAGATCACGATTCTCCCATGATCCTGAATAGATGACATTATTACAGAAAATAATCATTTATTCGATGTTCAGACGAAATTTTAATTAACTGCAGATTAAAAAATAATTATATATAATTTAAACGGATAATTTATAATTTAATAATAATATAATTTTAATTTAAATGGTTATAATTTAAATTAACTTCAATTTAAATGAACAATTCAACGACTCATTTATAAAAACTTGGAACGTTTCATTACCTGATGAATCAGCATTTTTGAATCGCTTGAACACATTATTGAGTGACAAATACTTTTTTAATAGTTGAAGTTGACAGTGTAATTACTACAACCTTCATTTGAAGCGTCAAGTTGCTTAGATTTTTTTAATCTCAGATATATTTATATGTAAATTAATATAATTTAATCTACCGCTACTGTAGACATCAGTGTGTTTAAACTTACCCCAGACCTTCTGTGGCAATTATAATATTTATAAAACAGAAATAGTAACACTGTCTGAAAAAAATAAATCGAATGCAGGTTTGAACCAACTGTACAACTATAATCATCAAAGCTTTAATAAACACACAAATTACAGATTGTTAAAAAATGTATATCATTCATTTTATTGTGGTGCTTTTACTTATATATATTTGTAGCCTGTTGATCTTTCATATGTAACCCTTAATAAAATTTTATATAGCAACATTTTATCAACAATAGAAACAATGTAAATGAGATTGTATTTGGTGAACTTTGACACTTGTATGGTATGCCTTTTTTTGCTTCCATGTTCCTTTAAAATGTTTTCTTTGTTTGTTTTGTTCTGAACTGTTTTGAAAAAAATAAAATAAATAAATAAAATATAAAAAAAATAATTAAACTATTATAATGTGGGTGTCTGAATTAAGCTAGCGATTTTTACCGATTAATCGTGCAGCTCTATAGTGATTGCTCCGAATAAGACACAAGAAGCTCAGTTTATACCGAGACCAGCCGCTCCTGCAGTTAAGCTGAACTCATGCTCTGCTGACCTTAGCATAACACTGGTTTCTTCCTTAATCTGGATCTACAGGAGCCAATGTGCGGTGACAGCCAGCAGCAGAGTGGAGCCCAGTGTGGAGGCCAGAGAGGTGGAGAGTGGCCCACCGTTGAACACCAGCTTATAGGACACCACCTCCTGCTGCAGGCCGCTCTCCTCCGCCAGACAACGGAAAACACCCTCCTTCAAGGGCAGCTCGGGGGTCGGAGCCAGGACGCAGGAGGAGCCTGAGATGGTGCAGGGGTACGTCTTGATGCAGTTGTCTTTCTCCCAGCGGTAAGAGGCGTGATAGGAGCGAACGGGGCAGGGCAGCAGGACCGGCCCATCTTTATCTACTAAAACTTCTTTGGGGATAGTGCTGCGGGCTTTAGGAGCTGTTTTAGAGAATGGTGGGAAATGTTTTAGTGTGATGAAATGATTATGTGGTACTTATAGTGTACATTAAGGACAGTGCCTATTTATTTAGCAATATACAGTTGGAAGACAGAATTATTAGCCTCCCCAAATTTTTAGCCCCCCTGTTTGTTTATTCAACACGTATTTAAACATAATAGTTTTAATAAGTTATTTCTAATAACTGATTTATTTTATCTTTGCCATGATGACTGAAAGTAATATTTTAATAGATATTTTTATGACACTTCTATACAGCTTAAAGCGACATTTAAAGGCTTAACTAGGTTAATTAGGTTAACTAGGCAGGTTTATTATATAATATATTATTGTATAATGATGGTTTAACGAGGGGGTAATAATTTTGACCTTAAAATAGTGTTTAAAAAATTAAAAACTGCTTTTATTCTAGCCAAAATAAAACAAATAGGACTTTCACCAGAAGAAAAAAATAATATCAAACATGCTGTGAAAATTTCCCTGCTCTGTCACACATAATTTAGGAAATATTTAAAAAAAAGAAAAATAATTAAAATTGTATCTTTAAATAAAAACTGTAAATGAAAAAAAAAACAAAATTAAAATAAAAGGAAAATTAATGAACACACACACACGCATCTATATATATATACATACACACACACACACACACACACACATACATACATATATACATACATACATACATACATAGATACTTACATACATACATATACATTAAATTTCCTTTTATTTTAATTGTAGTTTTTTTTTTTTTAAGTAAAAGTACAACGCCTTAGTCATTACATTACATTTATTCTTAAGAATATTTCATTTGATTATAGTACTTTTGACAATTTACATATTGGAATCAGAATCTGAAAACGTATATCCCAGATAAATAATAATAAATGTTAACAAAAAAAGTGCAAGATAAAAAGTAACAGAGGCTGCAATATCTGCTACCAGATTTATTTTCAGTTGGTAATTTATAGTTAATACTAAAGTGTTTTTTTACCCATACTGACACTGACACATCCAATAGAGATGTTAAAATCAGCTAAAATTTTGCAAGTAATGTATTTTGTATAGGTGTGTGGTGAGGGGGCGTGGCCGAGAGCCGTGGGAACGGGGTGAGGCCACCGCGTAAGTGGATACACGTGCGGTGCGCACCTGCCTCGGATCCCACGGAAGGAGCTCTGGACCATAAAAGGAGGACCGATGGCAGAGGAAGCCGAGAGAGGACCGGGCCCGGGCATGTTATTTTACTTTTGCTTTCAGTTTGACGGCAGTCTCCGTGAGGAGCTGCCGTCCGTTTGTTTTTGGTTTAGGCGGCAGTCTCCGTGAGGAGATGCCGTCATTGTTATTAATAAATATTTAAAACCGGCGTCGGTTCTCCGCCTCCTTCTTCCCGGCGGCCAAAGGGCCGTAAACTTCATTACAGGGGTGCCGAAACCCGGGAGAAGGAGGGACGCGTTGTCCAGATGCCCTCGCAGCTGAGAGAGGGGGCGAGTGTTCGGGAGTTAACCCGAGTGGGGGAGAAACCCGTCCGTCTGCCCAGAGTGCCGGGGCGGCCTGAGGCTGGCGAGGAAAGGATCTGCCTGCTGCCGTCTCCCAGCATGGGGAGGAGCAGGGGACGCGGGGCTCACCGCCGGAAGGGAAAGAGCTGAAGGGAGCCATCCCACAGAACCCGGGGGAGTCGCCGCGATCCGCCATGATGCCAGAGCCTGCATCCATCCACCGAAGCGGGAGCGGAGCAGGAGACCAGAAATGCCGCCAGCCAGCCAGGAGAACCGCCGCCGGACGCCAGAAGACGGACGGGTGGATAGATTCCTCCACAGGGCTCCCAGCACGTCGTCGCATCTCTCAGCTGGTGGAGGACCGAGTGGCAGCGTGTCTGGAGAACCGAACCCCAATTATTATTTTTTTTTTCCTCTCTCCCCTTTCTCGGTCTACTCTGTCTTTCCTCCTTTTTTTTCCATCACCTTTTCTCTCGGCCCGTCTCATATAGGTCTTGCGGGTGCTGCGGCGCCAAACCCCCCCCCCCCCCCGGAGTATGCACAGCCACGGGGTGCCCCCGGCCTGTGATGGGAGATGGGGGTATGTGGCGAGGGGGCGTGGCCGAGAGCCGTGGGAACGGGGTGAGGCCACCGCGTAAGTGGATACACGTGCGGTGCGCACCTGCCTCGGATCCCACGGAAGGAGCTCTGGACCATAAAAGGAGGACCGATGGCAGAGGAAGCCGAGAGAGGACCGGGCTCGGGCATGTTATTTTACTTTTGCTTTCAGTTTGACGGCAGTCTCCGTGAGGAGCTGCCGTCCGTTTGTTTTTGGTTTAGGCGGCAGTCTCCGTGAGGAGCTGCCGTCATTGTTATTAATAAATATTTTAAACCGGCGTCGGTTCTCCGCCTCCTTCTTCCCGGCGGCCAAAGGGCCGTAAACTTCATTACAAGGTGATATATATATTACAGCACCAAAAACACCAAAAATGATTGAGGTCATGTTCATGTTTTGTGTGATAAGTCAATATATTGATTATTGTGACAGGCCTAAAGTAGTGCTTTCAAAAGACTGATCGCATCCACAATAAGTTTGTATTTACATTAATTGTGTGTACTCACTGTGTATAAATACTGTGTTTATATAAATAAAAAATACCTAAATTGCAAAAAAATTCAACTAAATATTTACCTATATTTATATTTACATCGACTTTGTATTACATATAAATATTTAATTTATAAAATAAGCATTATCTCAAATATATATTAATATATGCATGACAAGCATGTTATTATTTCAAGTTATTGAGTTATTTCAAAGTAACTTAAGGTTAACAAGTTCCAAATTAAATACTCCCAGGCAAGTGATAAGAAAGGAATGAAAACTGGATGTTTCAGAGGAAACAGGAGGATGCTGAAACAGTTTGGAACGCTTTCAAATTTCTCAGTCAGTGCTGTAAAGTGTAATGTAATACAATACAACAAAAAATATTTTGAACAACCTACCTTTAGCATCGCCACAGATTGAGGCATTGGAGTGGTCAAGCGTCTGAATAAGGCTTCTGATTTCAAAAAGAAAGACACAAAAATCGGTTTACTTCAGAAATGAAAGCAGTGATGCATCATTTGTTGGTTTATTACATTAGCTAGTGCATATGTACCCGGTGTTAATGCTGCCTGTGGTGATCGCAGTGCACTTCTTCTTGTGCACGTCCCACGCACAATATGGGTCCCGTGAAAGGATGCATTCCCTACAGCTGAGACCGTAACGACCGCAGTCCGCCAGAGGGAGGCGCTGCACTTCAAGTTGTGTGCCAATGTAGAGATGACCCTGGCACAAAGCACAATACAGAGGTGAAAGCGCCATCTGCCTCCTATGATCAAACGCTATTTTTTAAAACTATGTGAACAGCCTTTGAATTACATTTCGCTGTAAAGTAAAAATGTTAAATATTATTATATTACAGTAGAATAATGTGATCCAGCATTGCAGGCTAAAATTGGCCTATTTTAATGTAAAACAAGACACTGTAGGCAGGTTTTTCGTTCACAGTGCACATCATTTTTGAGAGTTTGGACTATTTTTCCAAGCAGGACTCATATACACCAAACATTTTTATACATAGGTATATTATAAAGATTTATACAGAGGGATTTAATTTGTCAGATTATGTATACAGTTCAAATTTCAGAATTATTAGCCCTCCTGAAATATATATATATATATATATGTATTCTTTAATTTATTTTGCCATGATGACAGTAAATAAGATTTTACTAGATATTTTTTAATATGCTAGTATTCAGATTAAAGTGTACTTTAAAAGCTATATTAGGTTAATTAGGCATCTTAGTTAATCAACACATATAAGGGGCTAACACTATTAACCTTGAAATGTTTTTTTTTTTAACTGCTTTCATTTTAGCCAAAATAAATCAAATAAGACAAATTATGTTTCTATTAAACATAATTTGGGAAATATTTGACAGTAGGGCTAATAATTCTGACTTCAACTGTACACCATTTTCTGAATTATGGAGTGATACATAAAAAAGATTCCCAAAATTCCTTTTGTCAAATAAAGAAATAAATAAAAACAGACAAGTATTTTAAATGTGACTTTATCCAATGCTTAAATGTTTGTGCTAGACCTCTATGCAAATTTGCACATATTTAATTAAACATTTACATATTTCATATGGTTATCATTTACATATTATATATATTATATTTACTATTATTATAATTTATTCAAGTGATGTTATCTACAGTAGTCAACATTCGAAGTGGATAAAAAAAAAATCTAAACTGTCCTGAAACCAAAATGGGTGTTGTTCAATAGTTTTAAAATGATTTGATGAAAGGTGATAAACCACTTCCAATGTTGACTAAAATATATTTATTTAGTTTTTCACTTGTAGTGTCTTGTTTCAAAAAGCAGGTCTCTACCTTTTTGGGGTCGATGGCCATGTTGGTGACAGGACTGTCGTCATGGAATAAGGAGTACTGTGCGATGATAAAGGCTCCTTCTATGGTGTGGAGCACCTTCAGGACTTTACCTTTTTCTGTACAGAAGACACAAGAAAAACTGCATTACAAAAGATTAACAAAACAGTAACAGAATGAGAGAAAAATGTATGGGATGCCATAATGAATGTTTGATGTATTCTGTATTTAGTTATAGAAATTTTAATTAGCATTCAGGTTTGTTTGTTTTTTTGAAAGAAGTTTCTTATAGTCTCACCAAGGCTGCATTTCAATATTCTTGTGAAATATTAAAGTAAGCATGGATATATTTTAGAATATGTTCAGTTCTTGTGATTCAAAGTCTGTAAATTCAGGAATATTACTCTTAACTCTACTCATTTTATTTCTAGAGCCCTTTCAACCAACCACAATGGATACCAAAGTGCTGTACATAAAACATATAATACATGCAAACTTGCAAGGAAGGAGCCAAAACACAAAAACTTACTACACGTGATTAAATGCTAAATAAAAAAAATGTTTTCAGTGACTTCTGAAAAGACTCCAAAGTAGGAGATGTTCTTAAGGAAAGTGGAAGATTGTTCCAAAGTCTTGGAGCTGCTACAGAAAAAGCTCTATCACCTTGACATTTCATTACTCTGGTCTTCAGTGTCACATGATCCTTCAGATATCATTTTAATATGCAAATTTGGCTGCTTTATTGTGATCAGTTATTATTGCTGCTCAATCATATTTTATCCATATTAATGTGTGCTTGATGAATTGTGTTTAATGAAGGTTTTATATAAAAAAAATTGTCATTTAAATGGTAACATGTTATACTTTTTTTGTACCAAATCATTAGTATGATTTCTGAAAAAAAAATGCAGCTGTAAAATTCATAAGAATAAATTAATTTTATAATTTATTAATTTAAAAACATTTATAACATTGTTTTAAATGGTAATAAAATTTCACAATATTAGTTTTTTATTGTTATTTTAATAAAAAAATGTATCTCTAGTGAACAGAAGAATAAAGTATTCCTTATGCTTTTAAAATAAACACTTAAAGTTAATATTTAAAAAATATACATAATAAAGGCTTTCATAATGTATTTTGTACTGAGATTTATTCTTGCACATTATTGAAGTCAGTTCTTTGTCATGATTGAATGCATTAAACATTCTGAAGGTGTACTAATGAATAAACAAATACTGCAGTGACAATCAATAATGACATCATACAGTACATTACAAGGTGCATTACGCAGCATAAATAATGCATTAAAATGCTTTTATAGTACATTATAGATAAAGGCTTTAGGTAAAGTGCTACCAAATAATATGAAAATTACTATTTGTCAGTGTCATCAAAAATCCTTATTTCAATGCATCTCTAGCTATTAAAAAAAATCTTAATTACTCATGCTCTTTAGCACATTTCTCTGCAGTTTACTGTACCTGTGCCCAGATAAATGATGCTGTAGTGTTCATCATTGACAGCCAAGACTGTGTCTGCCACAATATGAGTGAAGTGGTCTTGAACAGACAACTCCAGAGGAACGTCATGGACCGGGCCGATCACTTCTTCAATTTCTGGGTGATCCCTGATCACACTCAGGATCTTCTGGTTATGAGCTTGAGTGTTATTCTTGAAAGCACACTGGATGGAGGAAGACCACACAAATGATGAATCAGGTTGTGTTTTTGTTTTAGTATCTAATAGATGTGATATAATGCATAAGAACGTGATTAAAAATACTGTATAACCTCTGTTAAGCTAATTTTGACTTTGCTTTGACTTTGTGTGTTTACCGTTCCAGGACGTGGATTTGCCAACGGTGAGTTGTAGCCCTTCAGTTTGGATGAAGAAAAGGCTTTGTCAATATCTTCAATAGAGTACGCACATACTACGGTCGTGTTCCTGTTGAAAAACATAAACAGGAGACACAGATTTTTGAAGCCTGTGCATTACTGTACACCTTCGCTCATATGCAAAAACTAATTAGCTGATAATTATTTTTTACATTTTGGTCTTTAACTCATGATACGTTTTTCACAGAAGCATTATCTACAAAATTAGTGAAATGCTTTATATCTTTTGAAGATCTGAAACCAATATTAAATACATATTGCACATCAAAAACAAACAGCAGACCAAACGGGCTGCAAATGAATCAGTTGTGATGTGGTGATAAGATATCTACACTGCAACATTTGCTTATCTTACTTAGATTTTCGTCTTTGTTTCTAATCCAAATATCTAAACATTCTTAAATCAAGAAGCCTTTTCTAGACAAGCAAACATATTGTCTTGTTTTAAAAAAATAAAATGCCAACATTAAGTGAGTTTTTTCTTAAAGCAAGCTAAACAATCTGCCAATGGGGTAAGCTAAATAATCGTATGTCAAAAAAAAATATATATATATTTTGCTTTCACCAGTGGCAGATTATTTTGCCTGTTTTGTGTGTTATTAAGTTTTAACTATTGATTGATTGATTGATTGATTGATTGATTGATTGATTGATTGATTCATTCATTCATTTATTTATTCATTCATTTTCCTTTGGCTTAGTCCCTTTATTCATCAGTGGTCATCACAACGGAAAGAACCTGCCAACTTATCCAGCACATGTTTTACACAGCGGATGCCCTTCCAGCCACCACCCAGTACTGGGAAACATTCATAAACTCTCACATTCACACACATACACTACAGCTAATTAAGCTTATTCAATTCACCAATAGCGCATGTCTTTGAATTGCGGGGGGAAACCGTAGCACCTGGAGGAAACCCACATGAGAACATGCAAACTCCACACAGAAATGTCAATTTCAAATTCTTGCTATGAAGCGACAATGCTACCCACTGTGCCACTGTGTTGCCATTTGTTTTAACCAAGTTAACCAAATTTTATCATTTAATTTTTCAAGGAAAAAAAATAAGAAAAGGCTCATATTCTATAAATTTTTTTCTGAATGAATGAAAGACTAAAACAAAAGACTTCAAGTGAAGATCTGTAAGATTATAATGAACTGTACAAAAATTTGTCATTTTGAAATCTGCCAAAGATTGCATTTAACATCACAGTTTATTTTATTTATTTGTGCTTTAATTAATTGGTTTTATGTGATTGTTATGTAAAAAGAGGGGGAATATATATTTAAATATACAATGTCAACCAATATTGACACTGTTAATATGATATTAAAACTTGTATATCTGTACACTACCTGACAAAAGTCTTGTCACCTACATAAATGTTAGGAACAACAAATAATAACTTGACTTCTAGTTGATCATTTGGTATTAGAAGTGGCTTATATGAAAAGCAAAGGCCTCTAGATTACAATTATTTTACCAAAATAAAATATCATGCCTTGACTTTTAATTATTTAATTAGGACAGTAAGGTCTGACTTTGCTTAGACATAAGTCTTGTCACTTAACAGAAATAATGTACAGTATAGAATATAAAGTCATGGTGCAGTGGAAAAATAATGAATATTGTGTCTGACTCCCATGAGCTTGGAGGACTGCATCCATACATCTCTGCTATGATTCAAATAACTTATTAGTAGTCATCTGGAATGGCAAAGAAAAGGTTCTTGCAGGACTCCCCAGTTCATCAAGAATGTTCATGTCTAGTGACTGGGCTGTCCAATCCTGGAGCACCTTGATCTTCTTTGCTTTTAGGAACTTTGATGTGGAGGCTGAAATCTGAGGAGCAGTGCTACACTGCTGAAAAATTTGCCCTCTCCTGTGGTTTGTAATATAATGGGCAGCACAGATGTCTTGATACCTCAGGCTGTTAATGTTGTCATCCTCTACATATCTTTTGCACCCAACATACTGAATGTAACCCCACAACTATGATTTTTCCTTCACCAATAGGTCCTCTGTAGTATTTGTGATGATTGGGATGCAATTCAACAGATGATTCATCAGAAAAATCTACCTTCTGCCACTTTTCCAAATGATCAACTAGAAGTCAAGTAATTGTTTGTTGCTCTTACAACTGTGATCGGCGACAAGACTTTTGTCAGGTAGTGTACTGTATTTTCCAGAAAAAAATTGTTGGACAAGACTTTATCTTTGGTTTTTGTCAATTGTATTGTTGAAAGGTGGAAAATCATACAGTACAAGTATAGTCTAAGTCACATTTAAAAAAATCATTAACAAATAATGTAAAACAGACTACCCATAGACCAGCAAAACATCTACAAACATTATAAAAATGTATTTTGCTTCCCCTCACCACACAACAAATCCCTTAAAAAATGAATGAGACCTATAAAACCAACAGAAATGGTTTATAAATTACATTAAAACAAAGGCAAATGGCATTTGCTATAAATGACATTTCATCATAAAGGTCAAGCCAAAACAAATTTATCAAAACTAAAAGTGGAACTAGCTTTGTGTTTTAACTGTGCTACCTTACAAAAATCACTCCCATCTGCACCAACACACACGCTTTGCATACTTAACACTAATTACATTTTATAACTTGCTTCAGGAAATTTAAGTTGCACATTTAAGATGGTAAAAAGTATGTAACTTTCATTAGAGAAAATGTGGTTTTATGTGTAAGGGCTTTTTTTAATAAACCGTACTGTGCAAAAGTCATTGGCCACCATTAGATTAGTCATGTTAGCATAATTATTTATATTATAATATAATATAATATAATATAATATAATATAATATAATATAATATAATATAATATAATATAATATAATTAATATAATATAATAAAATATAATATAATATAATATAAAATAATTAATATAATATAATATAATATAATATAATTAATATAATATAATAATCTCTTGTTTTTCAACTAAAAAGTAATGATTTTTATAGAAAATTATATTGTACTCATAATCATTGCCTTCTACGTATTACTGTCAACATTGCCAATTGTATATTGTTTTGTTTTTTTTGGGAGTATGCTGTTGTAAGTTGCACTGTCTGTATTTTGCACTGTCTGGAGCCAGCACCTAAGTTTTTCACTCATCATAGTACACGTGCTGCTGATGATGTGACAATAAAAGTGATTTGATTTGATTATTGATTCTGACATTACATGAGTTTCCCAGTGATGGGTTGCCGCTGAAACATATATAAAACATATGCTGGATAGGTTGTCAATTTTTTTCCGCTGTGGCAACCCCAGATTAATAAAGGGACTATGCGGAAAAGAAAATGAGTGAATAAAATTATATGATATTTATGGATATTCTTGATATTTATAAAATATAACAGTCATGAAATGGCCTCCACAGAGTCCAGACCTTAATATAGTATTATAGAGGCAGTATGGGATTGCCTGGACAGGAAAAAAGCTAAAAAACCACAAAAATTATAAGATAGACTCTGGGTCTTGTATATGGATGCATACTAATTACCATCTTTTACTAGCAGGAGCCATCTTACTCTGAACTTTCTCAATTTTGTGCACATATCTGTTTATATCTTAATGCAGAGACCAGTCTTATATCTAGAAGGTCATTAAAACTTTTCTAAAACGCCAAAACTGTTGGGCGACCAAAATTTTGGCACAAAAATGTATATATATAAGTATGTGTTTTGAGCGTTAATCTATAGGGATGTTTTTCTGTGTTGAATGTAGTTCTGCCAGAGGCATTATTCAGCAGTCTGATGTCAAATGCTACCATCCTACTCACTCTCAGACTCTCAGACATCTGCTTACCAGGCATTGGAGAAAATGCCGTAGATCAAGCCAGTGCGGAGATGAGAGGTCAGAACAAAAGCCTGCTTGAAGTTGTTGTACTGTACAGGAGTTCCAGATTTCCCACACATCACACGTGCCTTCAGGAATGTAGTCCAGGAGTTAGGCAGCACATTCTGAAGCCCTCCCTCGTCGACCTGAAACACAGATATAAAGGTCATCCGAAAGCTTGTGTCCTTACAGCAGTGTGCTGTATATGAAGCAGGAACTGCTAAAAGCTTGTTACCATGCAGACTCGTCCTATCCGTGCCCTGTACGGCTCTTCATCTAGACTGGAGCTGCTGTTGACTTCGCTGAAGAAGAAGTAGATCTCATTTTTGAGTTTCTCCTCGTGTGGTATCACAGCGGCTCCTGCAAACTGCGGATCTAAGAAGGGTAAGACATTTGGTATTGTTATAGATTCAAACTATGCTGCATTTGAAAGTATAGTAAACCATTTGCAGTATTAGTTGATTTCAACAGTTGTGGGGCTATTAGTATAGCTGTATTTGAAAGGCACAACATGGCAACATTCACTTATCCTCAATAATTTGGGTTTCATTACTAGCAAAACTGAAAAATAATATATTTATTTAAATACATAATTAAAAAATGCAGTTTTTTACACTTTCTATTGATCAAACAGTGCTGATAAAATATATCACAACTTCCAAAAATAATTTTATCACTAATTTACCATACTGTCAGTAATCATCAGCACAGAATTTGTATATAAGATCATGTGAACACTAATGACATTTTAAATTATAAATATAGCTTCTATGACAGGAATTAAAAAAAAAAAAAAAATATATATATATATATATATATATATATATATATATATATATATATATATATATATATATATATATATTAATAAACTCACTTTTTATTGCAATTTTAGAGCACAAAACATAACAATAACATAAAATAAATACAATATATGAAGAAATATAAAATATTTACAATTATTCAGAGTTGATTTAAGGCTTTAAAATGATTAACAGTTTTTTTTGCTTTGGTATTTCTTGTTTCTTTTAACGTACACAGGTAATGACTTATTTTTATTTTAAAGTGATTAAAATTATTTTTTTTCACTGCCCATTTACATTTATGAATAAAAAAATGTCCCATATATAATGAGCAAATTGACAATATGCCAAATTTTGAAATCAACAGCATTCTCATTAAAAATAAAACATATCTTTATTTGAATTCCAATTCAATAATTAAACTTTTTTAACAAACAAAGAACACAACAAAAGAATTGTGTATAAATGCATTCATATAATAAATGAATAATACTCTCTTCTTTATCTTTACAGATACACATTTCAAATCTATATCTTTACAAAATTTTGCAATTACCTATTTTAAAGGATAACTACGATGAAGATTTTAAAATGGTACCTCTATAATATTTGTTATACAAAAACATCTGGAGATCTTTAATTAATAAACTAAATTGATGATAGCTTTCAATATACAGTACAGTAGTTGTAGTGAAGACAATCAATTACACTTAGATTAATTTTTGCAAGTGGATAAATTTACATTTAAAATGCATTACATAATCTTTAGAGATGAAATTAGTTCAAAAACATTTGAGGCTATCGTGTTTATGAATGAGTAAATATTGTATCTTTGTCTGAATTAATACATGAGAACATGTGTATATGAGTACTTGCTAATATAAGTATCAGAAAAAGTGAGTACTTGAGTATACAAGTATATAAGTGTATACGAGTACTTGAGTGTGTGTGTGTGTGTGTGTGTGTTAATACATACAGTTGAAGTCAGAATTATTAACCCCTCTGTTTATTTTTTCCCCTAATTTCTATTTTATGGAGTGAAGATTATTTTAACACATTTCTAATTTACATGACAATAAATAATATTTGACTAGATATTTTTCAAGACACTTCTATGCAGCTTAAAGTGACATTTAAAGGCTTAACTAGAAAAATTAGGTTAACTAGGCAGGTAAGGGTAATTAGGCAAGTTATTGTATAATGTAACTTGCATACATATATATGAGATATGAGTATAAATGAGTACTTGAGTATATGAGTGTATATTTGGGTAAAAATTAGTAGATGTGGATGCGTACAGTAGAATTAAAGAACGCTTGAGAATACAAGAATACGAGTATCCACATGTATTTAAGAGTATAAATGAGTGAACAAGTGGATATGACTATAAATGAGTACAAGTGTAAATACACTGTGCATGAATGTACATTAGTAAATTTGAGTAATATATGAGTATCTATATGTTTGCAGGCGTATAATGAGTAAAAAAGTCATTATGTATGGTGAAGTACAAGTGTATGTATGGATATCTGTGTATGAATGAATACTGAGTGTATTTTCAGTATATATTGAGCATGCATGGGTATAAATGAGCAAGAGCACATACAATAATTGACTAATAACATTTCATAATGTATTATCTGCTCAGTTAAAAAATCTGTTTCAAATCCAGTTTTATTGCAATTATTTATGATTTACATTATTAAAATAATTTCCAAAACAGCTTTAGTTTTTGCTCTGCTGTCATAACAGACCTGAATCCATTAGCTCCGTCCTTCAAGAAAATCTCCAAACCTTTAATGCAGTATAGATAACAACTGTCAACTCACTTTGTAACCATTTATTCTCTGTCTTCAGCTGCTTTTTGGAGCCGAATGTGCGACGGATAGTGCCAGTCTGTCCTGCAGCCGCTGACAGAGCAGAGTACAGATTCTCATCTAAATGAGGAGAGAGAAAGAGAGAGATAAGTATATCCATCAGCCAAAGCTCTGTTACTACACAGTCCTGTCAAATCAAAGAATCAGCTACACTTTGATTCAGAATTAGCAATGTTTGCAATACTTTAATACTCAGACTAAAACAGAAGGCTGCGAATGAACTGCAAACTACCTCTTTCTGACTGACAGATAAAGACATTGGAGAGACATTCAACGTCTTTCAGGATCAGTGTTGACCTTTCGGCCGTGTGGCATATAAAATAATGAACTTTGTATCTGACATTTAGAGCGCTAAAGAGAGATTTCTCTGTTTCATATACTACAGGGATTGTTGTTCTCTTTGTAAGTTGTTCTTTTGCATTTACTGTGATGCACACTGTTCTTTCTGAGCAGAGCACACAGCGTTTTCTCCCATCATCTTCACATTATCTTCTTTCCCCTTCCTCCGTTCCTCTCTTGTCCCCTACCTGCTGACAGACTGATGGAGCGCTGAGAGGGAAAAGGTGCCAAGATGTTAGATGCTGCTGTTTCCTCAGACATGTCCGTCAGTGTGCTGTCATTTACCTGGGTGAGAGAGATGATGTGATTATTCAGTGCTCCTCAGGCTTTCTCTATAAAAACAGCACTGAAGACCCTTTAGCACTCTCTGAAATCAGAAATGTGCTGAAAACTTGTTTCCCCATAATATTAATCATCCACTAACAATGTGTCCCACATTTCAGGATGGGAAACTCTCATTTTATTATAATGCTTTCTGTTCTGCCTGGTTTTAATCCAAGCACAGAGGCGAAACGAAACTGTTAAATGATTCGGTTATAAATCACACCCACAGCAGAGAGACAGAGGTTATGGAAATGTGCACAATAACGCAGAAGCAGTTAAATAAACAGCCTCAATTCTGCCAAAGCAGCTGAGCTCTGTCAGAAAATTGGTCTCATTTTCCCTTCGCTTTTTCGAGTAATCGACAGAAAGCGCTTGGAAAGATGACAAACAATACTCAATAAGTGTCTTCAATACATAAGAGAAACTGACATGTTTGCATTGAGCAGATGCGGCGTTTCTGCAATTTTAGATTGTAACTTAAGCAATAAACATATCTTATGGTGTGTTCACACACTCCCTGTTGTGTTCATGTCTCAATCAAACCACATCAGAGTTTAAGTCTTGATCCATTTCCAACTGAACTATGATGCAGTTTGAATGAATTATGAACAAGACACTGACAAACGATATCAACATGAATCAGAAACAAGATGTGATGTCTAAGCATTGGAAGATAACCGTGTTCAAGGTATACCATGGTTTGGAAAAGTCAAGGTTTTAAAACCGCCAATTTTTCTGCCATACCATACCTAAGGTATGAGTAGGATCTCCAGCAGAAAAGATCTCCAAAGTTGCTGTTTTAAATTGTAAAATAATCTGTGTTTTTGAATCAAATAAAGACAGCCGAAGTCCATAATTCATTTGAATTATTCAGCCTGACATGTTTACTGTTCCAAAATAGTTTAAATGTTTCTCAAAATAAAATATATTGTGTACAAAGGGGGAAAAGGTTTTGTTTTTTACCCAGACATTTAAAAAGAAGTTATTTTAGAGCAGTAATCTCAATACTGTGATACTGTAAAACCCTGATATTTATATACAAGGTTATCATACCATCAGAACCTTATACCGGCCCATGCCTAGTGATGTCACACTCACAGGGAAAAAAAGGTAAAAAAAAGGTTCCCTGTGCGGTACCTTTTCAAACAATAATAATACCTCAAGGGTACTGTGGAAATATAAATTTATATAATCTAGTTTCAAATTAACAAAAATCTATATATATAACTGAAAACTTATATTCTTTGCTTTTTTAATTATATCATTTCATTTGAAACTTTGCTTCCTGAGCTCGGGCTGAGCCAAAGTGATGCAAATGTTTTGGCAGGGTCTTAACGACTGCCTTTGTCTTTGGGTGACACTTTCAGAGTAAAGAAACTCTTTTGTTGATAAACTTGTGTGGTCAGTGGCTTGGCAAGTTTATTCATTTACCTACCTACTTCATTTGCATGCTTTGTTTAGCCATCTCCACCTAGCCATTTCTAGGACATATTATATGTCCTTCTAAAAACATATAATAGACTCATTTTAGACATGATTTTAAACGTGTGGTAAAACTTGCAGACTGCAGACCTGTAAAAGACTCCTGTAGGCTCTTGCAGACTCGTTGACTTCTTGAAGATGCTGTATGACTACAGACTAACCAACACATCTCAATAAATAAATTCTGCTTGTTCAAGTTTACTGGACTGGGTTCTGTCTTCACATATTTCTTCCAACAGTAAGTAATAATACATAAAAAGCACAAAGCTTTACCTTGTCGAAATTTCTAGGTACTAATATATACCTTTGAGTTACTAATATGGTACCTTAAGGTAGAAATGTGTCCCTTTTGAAAAGGTACCACCCAAGTGACAGCTCTTGTACTTTTCATAGTGCAGAGGATGCGACCATAAAAAGGACAGAATACCCAAGTATACCAGGATTTTGCAGGCATGGGTGCCTTACATGGGATAAAGCCCACAAAAGATCCACACAACAGTAATATCAGTAATATTATTTTTTTTATCATAATGATTATTGAATTTTTTCAAAAACTATTTTAAGGTTGGCTAATATGTGGCTAGAAGGGTATCCACCACATAAAACATATGCCAGAATAATTGGCGGTTCATTCCACTGGGGCGACCCCCAATCAGGAATTAAGCCGAAGGAAAGCAAGTGAGGTTCCCTTATAATTGTTCCAAATTCAGTTCAGCTTCTGAAGTAACTGCAAAACAAATTTCTCCAATAGTGTCTGTGGTGTACACCTCAGACTCCCATTGCCAGAGAAAACAGATCAGGCCATAATCTGGCATGTTTATAGCCTACTGGTTATTGACAAATTGATAACAAAGCTGAACCACAGATTGAGTTCATATGACACCACAACCCAGTGCTTTGGCTTTTAACATCCTCTCCTTGACTACAGAATAGTGGCATGCATTAAAGAATTTTATTTCACAATATATATAATTTCTATTAGAATTTTACATTTTAAAGCTGAGTATTAAATCCTTGTATAATAGGCAGCTTTTACAGACTGCCCAGAACATTAGTAGATGTAGCTCTCATCTTCTGTCTGAGGAGTTTATCCTGCTCCCTTCGGGTCAAAGGTTTCAGATACTTTTTAGTAGGAAAAAACATTACAGGAATAGCTTTGTCCAATCATCTTATTTCGCTCTGAAAATATTTTAATATTTTAAAAGATACTTTTGTATGTGTATTTGCGGATATGTATATGTGTGATTTAATCAACTCAACTCATATGCACAATTGTAGAGGTGGAGGGAAAGAACCGCCCAATGCAAAGCACATTTAAAATCTTTTAATGCATGGCACGCAGTTGATTATCCTATTTAGTCCGTGGTCATTTGCCAAGTTATTGACAATTTACAAACAGTACTGGTTTTTGCAGTGTGATATTTGACCAAATCAAATGTTAGATCTCTAAGTTTTAACCAACTAACCACAGGCAAACAGAGAGAGTGCGTGCTCGAGCAAGACAGATAATGTATGTACATAAAACTAAGGGCATATATATCTCATAACAATATGTTACGACTTTGCAAATGTTTTTACAAATATAAGTGAATTGGTTGATCTCCATCGACTCGCTAGTAAAGCACTAAAGTCTGTGTCCTTGAGTTCACACAGAGGATTGAAGGCTTTAGCAACTTTCACTGAGTTTCTATGGTTTATATTTGAGGGTAGTGCATTTATTTCAAACTCAAATCTAAATAGAACTATCTGTGCACTAAATGATTTTATTGCAAACCTTCAGCCAATAAAAATTAAGAATTTCAACAGACTTACCAGCAGCCAACATTTAGGAGTTCCTGCTCTTGTCCCACACACCACCATTGAATCACCAACTTTTTCAATTACCGTGATGAAATTATCACACTCATGCTATTGAAAGATAAAAGAACAGTCAATCCAAGACATACAGACTATTATACATTATATAGACACACACAACCAGACAAAAGTCTTCAATCTCAGTTGTAAGAGCAACAAATAATAACTTGACCTTAAGTTGATCATGTGGAAAAGTGGCAGAAGGTAAATTTTTCAGATGAATCGTCTGTTGAACTGTATCCAAATCATCACAAATATTGCAGAAGACCTATTGGAACTTGCATGGACCCAAGATTCTCACATAAATCAGTCAAGTTTGGTGAGGGAAAAATTATGGTTTGGAGTTGGATGGCAACATCAACAACCTGAGGTATCAAGACATTTGTGCTGCCCATTACATTACAAACCACAGGAGAGGGCAAATTCTTCAGCAGGATAGCGCTCCTTTTTATACTTCAGTCTCCACATCAAAGTTCCTGAAAACAATGAAGGTCAAGGTGCACCAGAATTGGCCAGCCCAGTCACCAGAGATTAACGTTATTGAGTATGTTTGGTGTAAGATGGAGGAGACATTGAATATGAATCCAAAGAATCTTGATGAACTCTGCATGAACACTTTCTTTGCCATTCCAGATGACTTTATTAATAAGTTATTTAAGTCATTGCAGAGATGTATGGATGCAGTCCTCCAAGCTCATGAGAGTCATACACAATATTCGTTCTTTTTCCACTTACTTTATATTCTATATCATACATTATTTCTTTTAAGTGGCAAGACTTTTATCTAAGCAAAGTCAGACCTTATTATCCTAATGAAACAATTTAAAGTCAAGGCTTGATCAGTTTATATTGGTAAAACAATTGTAATCTAGAGGCCTTTGCCTTACATATAAGCCACTTCTGATAGCTAATGATCAACTAGAAGTCAAGTTATTATTTGTTGTTCCTAAAACTTGGATAGGTGACAAGACTTTTGTCAGGTAGTGTAAATACTAAAACATTTAATTGTGAGTTTGGAGAAGATCTGTCTTTTCCCACTATTTATACAACATGCTCAATACTAAAGGTTGTAAAAAGATATTATTTTTTGGTTCCATAAATAACCTTTCCAAAAATAATCACTTATTTCTTATAGTGATAAACATTTATTAATTTAAAGAACATTTATTGCAATGGAAATGTTCCATAAAGGTTAAAGGTGACCATTGGTGCCATCATGGCACCATCAGTGCTAAAAAAACAATTTTTTTAACATTTAATTAGATATTGTTACAACTTCATTTCTCCTGAATGATCAGCATAACCACCCCAACCACCATCTTTATGATTTCTAAACAAGCCAGACTATCATTTGACAGCCTGTCTGTGCCATTACCCTTAAAAAATAGCCTCATTCAGTCAACTCTTGAGTGATGACCTGCTCATCATGGATGACTATTTCTGTAAATGTTGAACCAGGGCAGTGAATCCAGCCAGGCTTTAGCTCACGAGGGAAACACTTTCACAAATGGTCTGATTACAGTCAGTCTCAGAATTCTACATTTATTATAATCCTGCTAAACCTGACGAGTGCAATTCACACTGAGGGGTTTAGGAGAACAGATGAATTGAATCACAGCCTAAATGAGTCAAGATAATCCTTTTCTTTGCCTGAAATCACAAGCTACCCGAGGTCTAAACTGGCTGAATACTGCAGGATTGTCTCTCTTACCTTCCATTGGGATGATTTAGAGTGGCACAACTCTTTTGCATTCTCATCCATCACCACAGGGATCTGTGAGTACATCAACAACAGTACTAATCACACAGCCTTGCATTCATAATAATGTACTGTAGGGATGATTTGTTCTCATCATGTTAGAGCTATATTCTGTTATAGAAAACAGAACATAGTATAATTGCTGTAGTTAAATGGTAAGAAACCATAACCATCTGTCCTTGGCAAGAAATGCTTTCTTTACCCAACCGCAAAGTAATCGTATTACAGAGCCTCCGTTATAAGACATTGTTCTGCTCCATAAATAATAGCACAGTTTTTTTGTTACTTGCTGAGTACCAGCTATCTAGGTCAGGATTTAGAGCAGTGATAGATCTACTTTGGCTCTGGGTTACAGTGTCGGCCCCCCTACCTGAATGTCATGCACTTCTTTATCACGAAAACTGAGCTTATAGATGACCCCTTGGCCCCCCACATACAGGACATCAGTCTCCTGTTGGTGGTAAACTGTAGTGAAGTTCTCTGGTTTTATGAAGCGAAATCGAGGTGATTCTAAAGACAAACAGACAGAAATGAAGTGCGTACACAAGTCTGGTATATATGTTCATATATTGTTACAGAGAAAACAATGAAAATACAACTATAGTCATTAAATTTGAATAAGACAGCAAAACAAATGGAGCCTAATGAACCTACAGTATTTAAATGCGTCGAATGTTTCCAATATATTTTGCTGTGGATTTTTCTAAACCATGAGTTTCCTTCTCCTGTTAAACACAAGGAAATATATTTTTTAGAATGTTGACTTTAATATTTGTATTTCCAATGTATGCTGATGGTTACAGGTTTACAATATTTTTTCAAAATATCTTACTTTGTGTTGAACAGAAACCAAAACAAAGCAAAAAATAATTGGTTACGAAAAAGTTAAACTGTATAAAGTCTAATGTGTATATGTCCTGGTCTTTCAGGGTAGGGGTTAAGCGCTGGGTTAACGACCCACCTTAAATGTCACAAAACACCAACATGATGCTGCTAAATATCAACTTTGATATAAACAGCCCTGGGAGTAAGTATCCTTTAAGGCAATAGTCTCAAACTCAATTCCTGGAGGGCCGCTGCTCTGCATAGTTTAGCTCCAAGTGACTTTAACTTAGACCGGCTTAATAGTCTTTTGTAGTCTTGAACACCTTGATTAGTTAGATCAGCTGTGTTTGACTAGGGTTGGAGCAAAACTGCAGGGCTGCTGCCCTACAGCAATGGAGTTTGAAACCTATGCTTTAAGGGCTATATTTTTATTTCTACTAGAAAAATCTTGATATTGGAGACCCTATGGTGTTTTGGTTCAACTAATCAGTTGGTTATGCATTAAATTAATAATTGTTTCAGTGATGCACTGTAAAAACAGTGTTATTTTATTGGTAAAATACTTGAAAGGGCATCTAGTTCACCACTTTTACAAGAAGATAAGCCTTTGGATTCTCCAGAATGTATCTGTAAAGATTCAGCTCAAGATACCCACCAGATGGTTTAATATAGCCTTCAGAATGGATTGTGGCTTTAAATCCAAATGAGCTGCATGTCCCCGCCCACCACTCCCATGTGCATGTCTGCTTATTATCATGTGGTACATCAGATAAACAGCCGTCAGTGATAGAGACAGACACAGATGAAGCTGAAATACAGCTCATTAGTCAAAAATACCCAGTAAGTTTATTCCATGTATTTGTGATGTAGTTTATTTTAGCCTTTCTGAAACAATGAGTCACAGTCAAATGCTGTTTGCAGTATACACAAACATATATATATATATATATATATATATATATATATATATATATATATATATATATATATATATATATATATATATATACATACATACATACATACATACATACATACATATATATTATTGCGCATTAACTGACACCATGTGGCCATGGTGATTATATCGTTAAGAATTACATAGCCATAATATTTTAATGCCAATTCATTTGGAAAAAAATGTTCATCAATGCACTGGAATTTAGGTCTAATTTTAATAATAATAATAATAAATCTAATAATAAACTTGCTGGGTTTATATCACTCTAATATGACTATGGACACACTATACATACAGTAAGTTCGGTCGAAACAGCTTACAAAAGTTGATTTTCATCATAGGTGCCCTTTAAATTGATATTGAATAAAAATAATTGGTTAGTTTCTTTATTAAGTGCAAAAAAAACTGTAATGGAAATAACTCAAAATTTCAGTTTTAGCAGCAATGTGCACTGTTGAATTTGCTGTTGAAAAAGCAAGATATATTTTTTACAGCATGTCTAAATTGTTATCACTATTCTCCCTATATATCATTTACTATTAATGAATTCCACTGTACAATCTTGTTTTTGGGGTTAAACAGTTGATGAATTTTGTGGGCGTGCTTCGTTTGACCTAAATTAAGGGAAATGTCAAATGTGGTTGTCAATGGTAACCGCTATGTAGATATAAATTATTGATAGCCTGCTAAATTGCATAGCCCACCGCGGGGCTGCGCAATTATTTCCTAAAACTAATACATTGCAACAGGTGTTTGTTTCGCTCTGCGCTGGCAGAGATCTTAATCAATAACTGGCGTTTGAACAGGGGGGTTGACGAGGTCGAAGCTTGCAGACCAGTCTGATCTGGTTTGTATTTGCATATCGTTTTCCATAAAGCAGTAGTTTAGCTAAGAGTATTTGTTCGCTGATCGCATCCTTCATTATTTTAATGAAGACGTGCGCTGAATTGAGAATTGAGGGAAGCGTTGTCCATGGTGCTGAAGTGGGCGGTCAAGTAAATTGCTCCTATACCTTATTTTCTCATGTTTTAAGAGGTTGTAATGTCACGTTACACTTAGAAGATGAGCAAGAGACGTGTTGATGTCTTTAAATAAACACCTGAATAGTGAATCGCAGGGCTTTATAGATACACAAGTCTATGAAGAACGTGCCTGGAATAAACAATAATGGTAGGTTTCGTGGAAATTTCCATGGGCTATTCGAGAGTGTTTCTCGCTGGTTCGCATGTTGTGCCCTGTGTCTTGGAAATGCATCAGTTGCTGCAGTGCCATCATTCCCGTTCGCTCGCGCACCTGCATTGCAGCTCTGAAGATTGCGCCTTACGCTTTTCTTAAAACTACCAGCCGCGGATGTAGCCCAAAATAACTGCGTACAGCAATGACATTCATTGCGAATACATGTTTAGGGAGCAAGTGGATGGTCGGTTGATGAAATTACTTATTCAGTAGCCTCCAGGAAGAATCAAGAGCTTGTTTACTCAAACATCTCAAGCAGACTACTCGATCTTGACCAGCCTAACAAATCTTAAAGAGACGTTTCTATGGCTACACCATCAAAAAGCCCTCCAGTAGTGTTGTATAAAGCGTCGGGTTTAGGCTATAAACACCGCTTTATTGACAGCATGATTAAATGTATTTGTGTTTACATTTTCCCCAAATAACGCGATGCTACAGCTTATTTATCAGTGTAGTGCAATAAATAAACTTACGCACTCTTAACCACGATTAATATCACATATATACGTCATGATGTGAAGTCATGACGTGAACATGAGCCTCAATCGGTTTTTGTTTTCAAAACAGCTATGTAATGCAATCAGTGCCCTGTATTGGCCTGCTTCCAGTCACCAACATTGCCATTTGATTTATTTTATCCTAACGGAAGTAGATACGCAGCAGTTTTTTTTTCTCCCAAGGGAAAAATAAGATGCAATTTGTGCTAGAGTAAGGATAAACATGGCTTTAGAAAAATCCAGAACTTTCCACAGAAAAAAATACGTATGCGTTATGCAGACTGAAACTGTAACGTTAAAGACAAATAAAGTCTTACCATTCACGATGAATTTCAGCCGAGGTGATTTTTCGGCCAAAACCACTGAGAAAAGAGTTGCTAGTACGAGCAGATTCATGTTGCTCAGCGGTGCTCTAATTAGAGTGACGACAAGCTAATGAAAGAGTGCTCTCGCTGAAGGACTGGGGTTGTTTTTTGCAGAAGTGCGCGTGCGATAAGCGGACGCCGCCTCGCCTGTCTGTCCCTCAGAGCTCCGCGAGAAGCTGAGCGGTAATTGCCTTCACGTCACACCTCCTGAAAGAGAGAAGGAGCGAGCAGACATGCGCTCACCCCACTGACAACTACTAACAGAGCAAAACACTCACTTTATTTACTAGTTTCAGAGCTTCTCGATTACATTTGCTTGTTTGTCACTTTATATGTATTATCACACTTAATATCAGTTTATATTTGTTAGAGATCTATATCTATCTATCTATCTATCTATCTATCTATCTATCTATCTATCTATCTATCTATCTATCTATCTATCTATCTATCTATCTATCTATCTATCTATCTATCTATCTATCTATCTATCTATCTATCTATCCATCCATCCATCCATCCATCCATCCATCCATCCATCCATCCGTCTGTCTGTCTTACCATTAAAAATACGGCAGGAACATAAAATAAATCTTACTATAAATTACCATATTTCATAAATGTTTTGTCCTATACATCAAAAACACAAAACAAAATAAACCATAAAGCTAAACACAAACAACTTTTCCCACAAGCAGCATACTTATATATAGAAGGTGCTCAGTGTCATTTACATAACTACAAAACACAATCTTGGTAACACGCATGGCACTAAATTAATGCAATAAACATTATATGCCATAAACGTTACATGTAACACAACTCTCATGTACATACCTATAAAAAACATAGTAATATCAACAACAAAAAAGCATAAACATTGAATTGTCATATAGGGAATTAAAGGGCAATTATGATGAAAATCATATTTTGGAAGCTGTTTGGACAGAACTGTGTGTTGGTATAGTGTGTCCAGTCATATTGGGGTTGATATAAAGACAATCAGCCTCTTTTTAAAAATTTCCTGATGGTAAAATAGGATCCAAATCCCTCCCATTTTGAGGCAGACCGCAACATGATGTAGGAAGCATCGAATTGATTGACAGCCGCGTATTAACATGTTTCCATAGTAAAGTGTATAATCATATCAACAGAATGTGCACAAAGCAACTGGGATTAACAGACCTGTTTAGCTCGCTGTGATCATCAGTCATCATCAAATGTTATCAAGAACGAGTTTTATAAGTTAACATTTTTTTAAAACAGTGCATGTTTGTAATGAATTACAGCGATCTTTACTTTATCACCACAGCCACATCTTAGTACAATTCTAAAAGAAGACGCTTCAATCCCAGTTTGTGGACATGAAATCACGTTTATTTTGTACATTAATATAACAGATATCCATACTGCACTGGAGATTAACATGTATTCTGTCACATTTGAGTGCAAAAACAGTGCAAAGTTAAACACATTTGCTGTGTGTGTGTTTGTGTGTGTGTATGTGTGTTTGTGTGTCTGTGTGTCCATTGTAACTTTGTAATGACATTGTGTGTGACTCATTGGAAGGCTTGAATTAACTGCAGTAAGAATCTTTGGAAAAGTTCTTACTGCAGTATTTCTCACAAACCTTACGAGAGTTCTGCTTCCTTCATGTTTCTCACTGTGCTGTTTATCTGACGTAGCCGAGGCGAAGATTGAGGCCACATTTACACTAATACATTTTAGTTTTAAAACGCATAAGTTTTGCTTCGGTTACGCCGTCCGTCCACACTACTCCAGAGTTTTCGAGCACCGGAAACAAATGATTTTAAAATGCTGAAGGGAATGCTGAAAAGGCCGTTTTCATCTTAAAATGCTGCAGCTCAGTGTTAGTATGGATGGGGGAAAACTGTGAAATTTGAACACGGAGGAGTAGCTGGAGACATTTGCCAGTCTGATTGGGGCTTTTTCCTCAATATTAAGAAGCCTACACACAGTTCAGTCTTGCATTTTTTCCTTGTAAGTTCAGACTTCACAAGTTTGATATGGAAAACAAAGTCCCGAGGACACGTTGAGTAAATCTTCAAAGGGAACAATGTACTTTATAACGTCATTCACATCATCCTTGCTAAATTGTTTCACTATCATAACAATTAAATGAAAACATGATTTAAGAAACTGTCTATTTTCATTTTGATATTAGCAACTTAACAGACATAAAAAATGTTGAGGTGTCATGTAGCTCCATATTTATATGACTTTCATCTTTACTGTATGCATATTTTTAATAAAACGGAGCCTATAACATTATTGCCTCCTTTCATTTTCATTGAAAGTACGAAACATACCCTCTCTTTTGCTGAATATTAGTTTTAATAATCAATAATGGCCATTATAAAAGTATAACATAAAATAAGTTCATACATTATATAAAGTAAATGCAAGCAATTAGTCAAATGCACAGAATCAGTGTACGTGGTTACATTAATTAACATATTAACTATCTTTGGGCTCAGCCAGAACACATTACCTGAGAATAAGTAATAGATTCAAAAGACCGAAGTCGGGGAATATGTCATTAGATATAGACTAGATGAATTAAATATCACGTTTACAAATATTGTGAGATTAGATCCAGTGGTTGAGTGGTAGATCCTTAATGAACAGTCCGACGTGCACAGCTCTTATCTGGGTAGATATGCTGCAATGCATGCCAGAGTGTGTGTGAGTGGTCAGGTGATATCAGTGATGTAGTGTGGATGGAGAGTTTTTTTGGAGACGCGAAGTAAAACTCCAGTGTGGACGCGAATCATTTTCATTCCAAAATGCTGTTTCAAAACAAAAACGTATTAGTGTGAACGGAGCCTGAGGCACACTCTAACAGGCACGTGGAAAACGTGGGGATAAATAGCATTAAAGGCACAGGCAACAAAGTAAGTAAGTAAAGTTTATTTATAAAGCACATTTACTTCAGTTTGGCACTGACCAAAGTGCTGAACAAAACCATAGCACACACTCTAAAAGAGTAAAAGATAACAATAAAAGTAATAAGAGGAATAAAAGTATTACAGCAACAACCACAATAACGATTAAAAGCCTGGGAATGCAATAGAATAAAAATGTGTCTTAAGTCTGGACTTAAAAATAGAGAGAGAAGAAGCACTTGTAATATCCGGTGGTAGCTGGTTCCACAAACGAGGAGCAGCGACTGCAAAGGCTCTATCCCCTTTCAATTTAAGTCGTGACCGAGGAATTTGAAGTAAAATTTTATTTGAGGACCTAAGTGACCGAGGAGTTGACTGTAAGTTAATAAGCTCTGATATATAAGAAGGTGCTTGCTTTAAAAACAATAAGTAAAATCTTGAACTGAATTCTAAAATTAACAGGAAGCCAATGAAGGGATGCTAAAACTGGTGCGATATGAGCATGTTTTTTGGTGCCTGTTAAAAGTCTAGCTGCCGCATTTTGAACCAACTGCAACCGTGCCAGTAAGAATTGGGGGAGACCAACATATAAAGAATTGCAATAGTCTAGGCGGGACGTGATAAAAGCATGTATGACCTTTTCCAGATCTTGAAAGGAAAGAATGGATTTGAGTCTGGAGATGATCCTCAGCTGATAATAACTATTCTTAACCACTGAGCTAATTTATTTTTCTAGACAAAGCTCAGAATCAAAGATAACTCCTAGATTTTTTACTTGCGATTTAACATACGGTGCAAGACTTCCCAAGCCCCCAATATACGACATTCTTGTTTTTGAGGGGCCGAAGAGAATAACCTCAGTTTTGTCATTATTAAGTTGAAGGAAGTTTTTTGCCATCCAACATTTAATATCCTCAAGACAATTAATTAGAGACTGCAGGGAGTTCTGAGATTTTAAGGGAACATACAGCTAAGAGTCATCTGCATAAAAATGAAAAGAGATGTTATGTTTCCTTATAATATTACCAAGAGGAAGCATATATAAATTGAAGAGCATTGGACCCAGAATAGAGCCCTGGGGGGCACCACACAGAAGAGGGGCAGATGTTGACAAAAATTAGCCAACAGAAACTGAAAAAGACCTGGATTTCAGATATGACTGAAACCATTGAAGTGCTGAACCCTTTATGCCGACCCAATGTTCCAGACGTGACAGAAGGATGGTATGATCAACTGTATCAAAAGCAGAACTCAGATCCAGTAAAACCAAAACTGCATTACTGCCTGAATCTACCAACAGCAGTAAGTCATTCCACACTTTTAACAGAGCGGTTTCAGTACTGTGGTGCATAGTGAAACCTGACAGTAAAGGTTCAAGTTTATGGGACGATTTTAAAAAAGGCTGTAGCTGTGATAAGACAGCTCTTTCTAGAACTTTTGACATAAATGGAGGTTAAGAGATAGGACGGAGGTTATTTAAGCAATTTAAATCTGCATTGGGTTTTTTAAGCAATGGCTGGACAACTGCATGCTTTAAATACGCAAGGACAGTGCCTGAAACTAAGCAGGAATTAATAATTGCTTGTATACTAGAACCTATTGTGTAAAAGTCTCCTTTAAAAGGTTAGAAGAAATAGGATCACACGGCGAAGTTGAAGTTTTTGTCTGAAACACTAAACCCCTTAACCCAGAGAGAGACACCGGTTCAAAATTACAGAAGGTAGCTGAAGAAACTGTCGAGTCCACACAGGAACTAGGGCAGAGAGGAGCAAAAGAGGATCTGATATCAGCTACCTTCTCAGTAAAGAACCTTTTAAATCCCTCACATATCTCTGATGACTGCTTAATTTTGCATGAGGTACGTGGAGAAATTATTGAGTTAATTGTGTCAAAAAAAATTTTAGGGGTGTGTGAATGTTTATTAATAATGTCTGAAAAGTATGTAGCTCTTGCCTTTTTTGCTGCTTTTTGAAAGTTTACTTGTGCATCTCTAAAGATTTCAAGAGAGACAACAAGGTGATCTTTTCTCCAGCGCCGTTCTGCTTTACGACAAATCTGTCTGAGTGAGCGAGAGAGATCATCCAGCCATGGCTGTGATTTCATTTTTGGATACTTATATTTTAAAGGAGCTACACAGTCTAAGATATCTGAACAAGAAGAATTAAAAAGAGAAATTAAATCATCAGGACTTGAGGAATGCTCAGCAGCAGCTAATATTGCTGTAGACACTTTGTTACTATTAAACATAGTAGAAAACTGATTTGCAGTGAGAGAGTTTATGCA